TTATTATTAATTTACTTTATTGTACATATTTATATTAAAAATAACTAAAGTTTTAATTTATTTATTAATTTATTTATTATTAGAAAGTCTATATATACATGCTTATGTTTTTTTGCACGCTTGTCATATTATATTCTTTTTCTTTTTTCATTCCAACCATTGTAAACGGTCTAGGATTTGATACTGGTAATTTATTTACTATTACGTCTATTATCAGATTTACTGTATCACTTAAGTATTTATTGTTGCACTTAATATTTTTAATACGTAGTTATTTCCCAACTTCTTTCCACTCCCCCATTTATTTTGGGATGTATTTCATCTATCGTGATAGCGATATTATCTGATCGCCATAAAGTTCGTAGCCCATATTTAATATCTTGTTTGTTAGTGGCAATCCTGGGATACGCGTTGCTTCTTGCAAATAATGCAAGCATTGCTTGTAAGTTTTATTTGTAAAATTTTTAATTTTAAATATCTCTCTGCATCGAAGTAATATTTTGTACTTTTAGTGAAATATTCCGGTGCTTGTATTGTTGGATTGGGTTTTTTTTCATGTATCCCTACTTTACTTGCATGGTAAGTCTATGTATTGCATATATTTTTTTTATTTACCTAGTTTATTTAAATCTTTGACATTTAAACTACATTCTGTATTAACTTTTTTTTTAAATAAATAAAAGGATGTTAAATAATTTGGCAGGTGATTCGAAGCGTGCTGTAGGTTGCGCGATGGCAGTATCAATGGGCAATTTAGGTGGAATTGTAAGTGCCCAATTATACAGACCTGGTGATGCACCAGCTTTTAAGCTTGGTCATTCTATTGCATTATCGTTCTTAGTTATTGCGGTAATTTTATCTATAATCCAATTTTATTACTTGAATAGAATGAATAAAGATAAACTTAACAATCCTGATAAGTTTTTGAAAGGACTAAATGAGGAGGAGGCTAAACATTTGGGCGATTCACACCCTTCGTTCACTTATAACATATAGATAGTATCTAGTTTATAATATTTACGTATAACTATAGTTCATGGCAGATTATTGGATGCGTCATAGGCCATTATTACATATCAAATATGTTAGAATTAATTACAGGGATCTTAAACATAATACTTATTGATCAAGTGAATTGATACAACTAAATTTTATATGTAAATTTATTAAAAAAAAAAACATTTAAATGTAATTTAATTAAGAAAAAATATATCTTTTATGATATTCAATAATAATTTATAATTACTGCGTGGAGCTGATGTAACAACTCGTGCAAACCTTTTATTTAATGAAATTTTTATTAAAATAATGACCGCTTTTTATTAAATTGATTACTGAGATTTAAATGAAGCGACTTTCCCCATTTTATTAGATTCGAATTAGATATTGTTAATCTGCTAAAGTATACTCATTGGCTTAATGTTGTTAGACAAAACCTAAGGGTTTTGTCAATGACAAAGGTCGAAACTAGGTTTTGTCTTTTGTCAAAAAA